ATTTCCATAAATATTACCATTAGTACTTCAACTCAAGTCTTGGGGCTATGCTGCGGTTTTTTACATTTTTCAATGTGTACCTTAACTCCTTCTTCAGCAAAGTCTTTTATATCGCCTTTTAATCCGTGAAGTCCATCTTGATGGTGACACCATTTAACTTCGGCTTGTTCTGTATTTCGTTGTAACTATTATCATGTTCCCACTGCAGCTAAATCAATTTATATTAATCAAATTAAGATTGGCTCGTTTCCATTGTCATAACTTGATTTATGCATATCAAAATGCTTTTATGCGTCAGAGAGTACTGTGAAAGTTCTAGGAGAGGTTTTATTTGTTTACATTTTAATTATTATATACAATTATATACAATTATATACAATTATATACAATTTATATTTATACATATTTTATTTTATTTTTTTATTAATTTTTAGTTTTTTTTTTTTTTTTGTATATAATTTTACTTTTTTTAAATTTTTTTATTTTTGTTTTTTATATTTTTTTATTTGTTTTTTTCCATACTTTTTTATTTGTTTTTTTGTTTACAATTTTTTTTTTGTATTTTTTTAATATATTTTTTTATATTTTCATATTTTCATATTTTTTTATGTTTTTTATATTCTTTTTTATATTCTTTTTTAATATTCTTCTTTATATTTTTTTATATAATTTTTACATTTTTTTAATATTTAATCAAGTTAATCAATATAAAAAGTATTAATTGAGTAAAGGTACTACCATTGTTTAATTTCAGTAAAATTCATATATCAGAAGCTTTTGGTTACTTCGCTTATAATATGTTTAGGTCTGTTAATAGAATTAGTGTCATCTAGAACTTTTACTTCGTTGTCTGTGTGACTATTTCACCGGCAACAGTTAGGTCGATGACGTTTCTGTATTATTACTTTATACTATAATTCTTTCTAATTTCATACTTAATTTCATACTGCAAGTAGGCATAGCTAACTTTTAGAAAGACCCTTTGGGACTTCAGTTAGTTCAATGATTGGTTCTTGTGTTTGTCTAATTCAGCAAATAGTTTTATAGCATTACCCATTTCTCATGTTCATTGCTCATGTTTTTCTGAACGTCTTTCTGAATTCCTCACACAAAAGGCACCTATTTTATGTGTCTATTCATGATATTTTGTATACTTAAATTACACTTTAGTAACGAAATTCTTACGTAGCGCAACATTGTTGTATTATTAGAATTCTTGCGAAATAACAATTAATGAACCAGGAAAATAATAAAAGCAAATAATAATAATAAATAATTTTCTAGTTTTCTCCAACGCAGGAAATGTGAAATTAGTTTTACTTTTTATTTAACGGCGGCACGAGTTTCAATGTTAACGCAAATTTCTTTTTTATTTCACGATAAAATAAACATAAAATGTGAAGGTGATAAAATAATTCTTTTGTAAAATAATATAAACACTATTTCCTATATAAACTGTGAGTAGTATTTATTTATATAAAATGTGTAAATTTTATTTTTAATATTTTTTTTTATTTTCATTTATTTTTATTGAGATACTTTTTCACTTCAAAATATCCTTGCTGTCTACTATTTGCTTTGTGTGATGAATGCCTTTGAAATTCTTTTATTATTTCTATATTTTTTTTTTGCAATTCTGATGAGTATTTATTTTTATTTTTAATATTTCATTACTAAATTAAATAAAAGCTAAAAATAAATAAAACTATTTGTTATGTGGTATTTAATTTTTCTTCATTTATGATTTGTTAATGATTCATCATTTTGAATATTTGCTGGCTTGTTGAAAATATTTAAATAAAATGTATTTAAATTTAAATTAAATTCTCATTTTAAATACAAGTACAATACATTTTTTTTTAATGAAAATAAATTATACATTGAAAAGTAATAAACATCGATTATATAATGCTTCTGATAAATTCATGGCAATTTTATTGTTATAAGTTTTTTTGTTATAAAAAAAATGTAGGTTATATATGCACATATATTATATATAGTATGAGTATATCAAACTTTAAACTTATTTAATTACTTTGAAAGAAGAATGAAATTGCAAAAACAATTATATTTATTGGAACAAATACGAATAAAATTATTATTATTTCGATTTCGATATCATCAATTATTTATTTATTTAACTTTTTTAAAGTAAAAAATAAAAATTATTTACAGTAATTTAATATAAAGTGTTAGAAAGTAGCGAAATTTATTATTAACACAGCATACAAAACGCCATTGCCTATGAAAGGTAGATTAAGTTTGTCATAATGTTTGCCATACAGTATATAGTATATAATATCTTAGGCCTTTGCCATATATTACCTAAACCAAACAGAAGTTATGCGCATTAATGCTAACGTCCAAGATCTTTTTATTATAAACAACATCAACAAATGGTGGATCCAGTGTTGCTCTAGAGAACTGTATCAAGAAGTCAAAACAAGCGTTTGGTCACTTAACAATGTCTGGCGATCATCTCAGTTATCGCGCTCAGTTATCTCAGTTTAACACCAACATAAAATCTAGCCTCCTCTACAGATGTCAATCTTGAAATGTTGCTGCAAAATGCATCAATGCACTACAACTTTTCATAAATCAGTCATTATGCAAAATTATTAAAGTATATTGGCCAAATACTATACCAAATAAACGTTTATGGTCTTTAACTTAATAAATGCCTGTAAGAACCGAAATCTACAAGCGCAAATGTGATTGAGTCGGTCACACTTAGACCACAAGAATGGCGATTAAGTGGAACCCGATGGGTAGCAGAAGAAGGGGTAGACCTGCATACACTTGGAGAAGGCAAATTGATATGGAAATGTCACACATAGGGAAAAGTTAGTGAGAGTTAAAGCTACTCGTCAACAATCGTACCGAGTGGAAGATCTTTGTTGCGGCCCTATGTTCTTCCTAGGAGTTAAAGGATTCAATATATATTTATTTATTACCACACACACAGATGGGGTCGGCATAATAGACCAACTAACTCGCGATGTACAAAAATCCTATTGGCAATAAAAATAATAATATACTACTACTATTAAAGTTGGCAAACTCTGGAAAACGCAAGAAGCTAAAGCATTGTTTTCGATTTTGTTTATAAATTTCTAACAGACTTCAGTTATATCCAAATATTTTGATCTCTTTAACAATAGTTATTTGCTATATTAAGGCAGGTGCTACCGTCCATTAGCTGCTATAGCAACTGTTGTTAGAGAAGATATATACATTTATTACTATATATTAGACTATTTATTAAAATATTTTCTTTTAAATTATTGTTTATCTTTAACTGCTGTTGTTAGTATTTGATTAATGTAACCTTTACAGTCTGGCTAAGATACTTCTTCAAAACTTAAGATAATATAATATATATGCAAATACTTAAACACGGAATTTGATATCAATTTTCTATCCATTCTAATTTATTGTATTCCATAAATTTTTCTTAACTTTACATCTTCCTATTGTGATGTGCTGTGCTACACTTGTGATATCTCTAATAAAAACATTTGAATTTTTTCTTTGACAAATAAATTGACTCATTCACTTTGCACATACCTACCATATGAAACCTTAATGATGTGAAGACATCAATACGACTTAATAAGCACATCATTACACTAGTGAACAAGTAATTTTCACCTCAATTTGTTATTGAGAATACCAAGAATTCTGCTGTCTGCATAACAAACAGTTTAACGCATGTTAACATATGTCAACACGCATCAAGCCATTTCCGCATCAATGTTCTGAATCTTGTCAACCGGAAGGGTGGGGGAAGTGAGATATCCATATAACACGCCACTTGCATATATACGAGTATTTATGAATAAATTAGATTTATATGTAAAATGAATTTATTATTTTTAATATAATATATAACAGGCCACTTGTACTTCTTTTGTATATTTTTGAATAAATAATTAATGTATAATTAAGTTTTAAGACACTCTGTATAAATATGCAAAGTGCGCACATTGAATTCCTAAAAATTTCTTTGCAAAAAAAAAATATAATAAAAAAAAAATTATTTTATTTATCAAAACAAAATAAGAAATACAATAAAAATTTAAAAATAAACTGAAAAAAATAATAAAATAAATTAAGAAATAAATTTATATATGCAAAACAACAAATAACGTAAACAGAGTAAACGCAATTACCAATTCAAAATAGTTTCCTACTACGGAATGCATTTCCACTAGAAAACTAGTATTTTTAGCTTCAAAGCAAGGCTACGACAGCCGTTTGTGTCCATTTTTTGTGACGAACAACTCGATTTTAACCTTCAATAAACAATAAGCAACAAACAGCAAACAACCAACAGCCAACAGCCAACAACACCTGAAAAGTAATTATGCATGTTAATGTTTCAGTTTATGTCATTATAAGATACGAGTTTACACTGGAAACTTTAACAAAACAATTACATTAAATATTGCTTACATGACTGACTATATTTCAGTTTAGAAAAAAATATAAATATAAAAAAAAATGCTCTAACCCAATTTTTCATCTACTGTTTGTACTGCACATTTTGGCTTTTATGTAAATGTATTGCGTAATGTTAGAAACATTATTATGTTATGCTCTATACGTTAGCGGTGAGAGAGTTTGACATAACATAAGCGTTAACATAATATATGTTAACTTAACAGTCAGTCTACTCTTAAATGCTGTTTATGCACTGCAAAAATATTTTATTAGAGCAAAATCTGTTATTAAGTTCCGCTTCCGTTTTTTAAGAGTTTATGATTTTATTTATTTTAACATAGCTCTTTAGTTTTTAAGAGTATCTATTGTTTCTATTACTTAACTCGATAACTCTTTAATGTTATAACATTGGGATTTACAGTAGCGATTATGAATTGTATAATTATGATGTAATAAATTGAAAGCAAAAAAAAATTATGAAAAAAAGTCGGCATATGAATGAAAACATATGGCCTGTTAATTTGCTTGTTAAATCTTTTGTAATCATGTTGATTTAATCAATTAGAGTAGTCATTTAAAGATTTAGCAAGTATGTCTGTTTATAT